ACGGCTTCGGAGGGCTTCCCGAAAGAGCTGAGGCTGCCTGCACCTCCTTCCCTTTTAGTGGGCTGCAGATGCCCTGCAGAAAGCCCACGGCACACGCACAGTCAGCGTCGGCCCACCTGGGGTTAGCGTCGCACACAGAGGGTACGTGGATGCGGCTGGGAGCCTGGGCCTCTCCGCCAGCGTGCATGCGGCAGGGAGTCACTTCTCACACAGCAGCAGTGTCCATGCTCACTGGGCTTTGGCCCATGACACTTGGGGAGGAGATGGCTCCTTGAGGAGGTGGGTCCTGGCTAGAGGAACTTAGGTCACCTGAAGGAGCTACTGAGACCTCACCACTTCCTGTCGGTCCCTCTTGGCAGCCTGGTCACCATGAGCTGAGCAGCTTCCTGCCTGGGGCCCTGCCGCCATGCTCCTCACTACAGGCCCAGCATGATGGGCCAAGTGACTGTGGATGGAACACTCAGGCACCAGGACCCAAAGGAAACTTTTCTCTCTTCAAGCGTATTCCTCAAGACCACTATGTTCCAGTGCTGGAAATATAACTCTCAGGGCACAAATGTCACCTCACTTTGTCTTTACAGGGGCGCTGAAGGTGGCCCCATCATGAGCCCCCATTTTACAGATAGGAGAACACATGCTCAGAGGAGCAGGGGAGCCTCAGGGCCACTCAGGATGGTAGCCTGGACCCTACACGCAAGATTTGCTCTCCATCCACAGGCCCTCATCCTGTGTGCTTTGATTTGGGTCTACATCCCCAGTGCCCGGCATACAGCTAGCCCTTAATAAAGATGTTGGCTGAATACACAAACCAGCAGATCAAAACCTAAGACTCTGGGCCTCAGTTTCCCCTTCTGAGATGGGGAGTTGGACTAGACGCTCTTCCCTGTGTCCCCACCCCTCCAGCGTTCCATGCTACACGGTAGCTCACACTGCAGCTCATCACAGTGCCCCCCCCAGAGGGCTTGCAGAGGTGTCTGGAATCTGACCCCAACCCCAGGACCCTAGACGTGAAGAGCCCTGACACTGCTTTGCCACCGGCCCAGGGGACCTCCATCTCCCAGTCCCACCGCTCTGACACCTAGGAAGAGTCCTTAGCCTCCATGCTTGACATAACGCTTGGAGACAAAAATGTCCTATGAAAACAGGGGGTCCTGGGAGGCTCAGCGGTGCTGCTTGTACATGTCCCTCCTGAATTTGTGTGTCCTGCACACCGGCTTGATAGCGTTCACCAAAGCTTGCCATCAGGCTTGCTGCTCGGCGACTGCTATTTTCCCCTGAATCAGCTTTAAGTTCACCTACCTTTCTTCCATTCCCTCCCTCCCTTCTTCCGTTCCTTCCTTCCTTCTTTCCCTCCTTTCTTAGAACTTAGTCTCACTCTCAACAGCGGCAGCATCTAGGAAATCGCAGTGCCACTTATGCTCCATGTACGATTGCCCCGTGTGTCACCAGTGCAGGGGTCTTGGCAGTCAGAAAGGGCTGATTTTCAGAACGGGGGTTTAAGTCCCAGTGGGGCCTCTTGCTGCAGCCCTGCTGCAGGTACTCATCAGCAGCTGCAGACCGGGGGTTCAGCTGGTTGATGTTCTCCTTTCTGCCCTCCTGGAGCTTTCCCACTTTTACAGAAAGTAAAGATGGCTCCTGTAACTGGAAACCATCAATGAAGGTTGGAAAATAACTCAGAGGAAACCAGCCTCGTGGCGCAGAGGGCAGGATGAGTGCCCAAACATCTGCCAAGCAAGCGAATCCAAAGGTTCTTTGCGTGAGCTTTAAGAACTGTGTTTGGCTATTCCCAGCCCCACCTCACTCCCCTTGTAGACCCAGTGGTTGGAAATTTCATCCCTCCTGCCCGCCTCCTCCAGCCAGCTGTCACCGGGTGTGTGGAGGACAGGAAACAGGATTGCAAGATTAGCGGTAAGCCTGCCACTCCTGCCTGACTGTTATCATGGCTGAGTCCACAGAGCCACCAGCCCCACTTGTCACTACCTGCTGAGACCCAGGGGGATGGGGACGAGGGCTGAAAATAAATTCTGGGCAAGGGCAAAACTGACAGAGACAGGGAGTTTTCCTCCCGATCAAGACAATTTTACTGAGTGTGATTCAGGTGTGCTGGCACAGGCCTATAATTCTAGCACTCGGAGGCTGAGGCAAGAGTGTCACCATAAGTTCAAAGCCAGCCTGGGCTACACAGTAATTTCAAGGCCAGCAAGACCATCTCAAGAAGAAAAAAACAAAGAAGAAGAAAAATACTGCTTCATAATGAATGTGGACTAATATTCAAGCCCTCTAGAAGCATTTTCTTTTTTGAGTCTTAAACCCAAGAAAGTGGAGGCTGTGTTTATTTGTGCCCATGTTACAGAGGGGAACATTATAGAGGGCCAGAAAGATCAAGTGGCATATCCAAAGTCCCATGGTGATACATGCAACTTCAGGGCTGGCCCTGGGCTCACCTCACTTCAAAGTTACTTGCTCCTTCACCTTCCCTGGGGACATCATGGAAGGAATGAGAAGTAGAGGCATCCGCCTGGGCATCTGAGCGGCTGGGATCCCCTCCACATCCCCTGCCTAGGACTCCCTTCCTATCTGACGTGTGCCTCGTGGTCTCTGAGGGCAGGGAATTGGGCTGCTGACCCTGCTGCCTGTGGCCAGGCCTTCTGGGAAGGAGGAAGGAAGGAGTCACAAGGACACAAAGGATGGTTAGGACACAGTGCAGGATGAGCTGGGGAGATCTTGAGGGGATGGACCTCGCGTGTGCAGGCCCAGGGCTTCTGCTCCAGCAGAGTGAGACAGACAGCAGGACAGAGGAACAGAGCTAAGACAGGGCTGGGTTGCCCAGGAAGGGTGTGGTCAGCAGGAGGAGGAGGGCTCCAGCAGAGCCCTCAGCTGAGAAGTGGCCCCTCGTGTGTGTGTCCGAGCAGCCTGGAGAATGTCCTGAGAAGAGGGCAGCAGGCAGGCTAAATCGGTCAGGAGGCTGCAGGGGTCAGGAGGGTGGGGGTTGGGCTGTGCAGGCTGGAGGCAGAAAGCAGAAGGAGGCTGAGCTGCGTGGATAAGGTGGAATTGGGGGCATGCACGGGCCCCTGGGGCCATCCCCTTCCTTCTAAGAAGGTGGGCTCAGTAGGACGTGGAGATGGGCCAGCTGGAGGGGTGACAGGTTGTCCCAAAAACCTACTATCCCTCTGCTCTTGAACTTGCAGAAGGAGGGAAGGAGAGGGGGACCACAGAGCCTTCAGGGACAGGCTGGTTGTGGGAGAGCGGCCCACCCTGCTCACCATGCACCTCTGGGCTGGGCCTTCGACCTCCAGGGCAAACAACTGCCAGAATGGAAGGGCATCAGAAATGCTCTAAGAACAAAAACTGAGATGTCTAAGGACCACAAATGACTGCACCCTTCCCAGCTAAGATATGATTTCTTTTTTCAAATACAGGATCTGGCTACTCAGTTCAGGCTGGTCTTGAACTCACTACGTAGCCTGGTTTGGCCTTGAACACCCGGGAATCATCCTGCCTCAGCTTCCCGAGTGCCAGGATCACAGGTGCGCAGCACCATGGCTGGCTCTATAATGCGACTATTGCTGTCCCTGTATCCACTAAGCCTGAGACTAAATCTCATGTCAATTTCAAAATGTCAATGCTTAAAAAAGAAAAGAAAGTTTAAATAATATTTTTCAAAAACTCA